CTTAAATATTTGAACGACTAACATAGTGTAAATACTCGGGAAGAGGGTTAAAAAAATTACATAGATACACACATCAATAGATCAATAAAGGTTCCAACACCAATTAAACAAGTTCAATTAGTGCGGATCCTGCTACGAATTTGAATCCCTAAGTTTAATGGTATATGATAAGGCAAAACAAACATTTGGACTCAGAAAAGTTAAAAAACAGCCGCACGGAATCCAATAACATAACTGAAAAAATATTAGAGAGCAGTATTATAAACTAAAAGTAGCTTTAGCCCAGAACTTCAATAAGCCTTTTATCAATATTAGTACTATAAAAGATCTTTTTACAGGAGAAGATTTTGAACAGGAAGACTGATGCAAAATTAACCTCAATATCAAGAATTGCATATGTCATAGTTTGTAAGGCAATACTAAGCCGTTAATTTTAATTATATATTTAGTGAAATACAAATGAAAATTGGAAAGTTGACCTAGATAAGTAAGATAAAGGTATAGATGTTAATTCTATATTTATTTTAATCTATTCTATCAAGGAAATGAAATTTTCTATATAAATGTAGAAAAAGTAGAACTAACACGCTAATAAGAATAAATATCATAGACTGACTAAACAGTAAGAAAAAAGATATGGAGAAAATGGGGATAACATAGCACGTATCTGCTAACCTCGAGGGCATCAGTTCGATACAAAATTAAAGAAAATAAAACCCAAATAAAATTATCCAAAAGCACAAACTAAAGAAATTTAAGGAAAAAATCAAAATTACCTGCCGATTAACAAAACAAACGGAAAATATAAACGCGCACTACTGAAATAGTCATAGTCTCACTAATGACAAAAATAATGATTTTAAACCTGTAAAAAAAATTAATCTTTTCCAATTGAACATGTTGAATATCAGCACATGAATGTCAAACAAAATTAAAGAAAATTAAAATAACAAAAAGTTACAGTGCAATAAGTATAAAGTAATGAATGAAGCATAGCTCCTGATTAACAGCAGCAAAAAGCAAAATAAACACACTATAAAAATAATCCACTACAATATTGAAAGAGGTATACCTATTGTGGAGATTAAAAGGCATAACTCTTGGAAGAGGAACAGAGAGGTTAATTAACAAGATAAAAAGACATTGATTGTTGATGCATTTTCAAGCACAACAACAACAAAGTCCCACTAAGTGGGGTCTGGGGAGGGTAGTTTGTACGCAGACCTTACCCCTACCCGATGGGACAGAGAGGCTGTTTTCGATAGACCCTCGGCTTAGGAAAAATAAAATACCTAGAGATGAATTTGGAGCGACAAAATTGAAGTTCATTGATATAAGCAAATCTTTTGTTGATAGTTTAGCATCAAAGTGTAAGAGGGATACTGAACTTTTTCTAGCCAATTCCAATACTACACATCTGTGACCAAACAAACAAATAGCATAGATGAAAAAGGGGGTATCTTTTGTACTCACTGCAATTTTTCTATTAACTGCAAGAGAAAATAAACAACCCAAACTCAGCATAAGAATGTTTTGTAAATTCAATTTCTTGTAGAAAGCAACGAAGTTCCAAATTCGTTGGAACTACCACCTAGTCTATATATATTAATTTATATATATATATATATATATATATATATATATATATATATATATATATATATATATATATATATATATATATAGACTAGGAAATTAACATTTCTTTCCATGTTAACATATGGAAATGATTTTCCTATTTTTGGTTAGAACTTAAGCTCACGTACGGTTTTACTTTGCATTGTTAGAACATTTTTTTTCTTTTAAAAATTTCTCTACTTCCAAAAATATAAAGTTCAAGTTAACTAAGGGGCACTAACACCAATCTCTATGATCCAAATTAAGTGCATATTCATTCCAACGGGCAAAACTAATTGATTTGCAAATGTGAAAGAAAGTAAACCAAATGACATCGTAAAAACTATATTCTAGGCTATATTTGCCCATATATACATTGACAATTCCTTTGTTCAAATTACTTACCAAGAGAATGCATGGCCATAAAGCAATGGGCATTTCCTCCATGTTCATGTTATTCTTTATTTTTCCAGCTTTTGTCTTTTCTATTGAACTCACAAACTTTACCAAACTCCAATTACCTCCTTATGTTGGATCAAATACCTTTGCCTTTGATGTCCACGGTGAAGGTCCCTATACTAGCGTCACAGATGGTCGAATTTTCAAATGTATAGACAACAGTAGTACTGCTTTTAGCAATACTACTACTTCTAACAATACCAGTTTCATAGAATTCGTGTATACTTCAACAAATAGGTAATTTTGTTCGTAATATCTATGTTGCTTGGACTCTCCGTAAAATATTGTTGGGTATGTCTCGGATCCTCCAAAAGTAGTGCAGTTTTGGAGGATCTGGCACGGGTGCAACCAGGGGCGGATTTAGGTTGTTTTTTCGGTGCACGTAAATCCATGGTCTTTCCGCCAAAATAGGTATTTTATGTATATATTTCATTGAAGGGGAACCTTGGCATAACTGGTAAAGTTGTCATGTGACCAGGAAGTCACGGGTTCAAGCCGTGAAAAAAGTCTCTTGCAGAAATGTAGTGTAAGACTGCGTACAATAGACCCTTGTGGTCCAGCCCTTTCCCGGACCCAGCGCATAGCGGGAGCTTAGTGCACCGGGCTGCCCTTATATATATATTTCATAAGATTGATCTAATATTATCTCTTGGTCCTCATGTTCCAAAAAGGTTGAATAATATACTTAGTTGAATGATGAGTAATTTATCCAAGGAACATGGGTTGATTCCCATTTAGTACTTTTTTTTCCCTCACATTTTTAGTGGTGTATTCGTATTCTAGAAATCCTAGATCTGCCTCTAGATGCAACAACATTTTAGAGAGTCCGCGCAACATAGCGTAACATAGAAAAATTAAGATTCTTGCTACATATGTTTGTGCCAATTCTTTATTTTGGATTTTAAACATTTTCAGGTCAAGAACTTTGTGCGACGGGAAAAATAACACAGAGCTGATATCTGTGTGTGGGCAGCCAAGAGGACTTGCTTTCAACTATGTCTCTGGTGCCATGTATTATGCTGATATAAGCTATGGTCTTATAAAGGTTGAATCTGTTGATCAAACAGGGAGAGTACTTCTTTGTACTCATAATGGTATTCCCTATCACTTTCTTGATGGCTTGGATATCGATCCAGTCAATGGATACGTCTATTTTACAGATCGCAGTGCAGTTTATGGGCCAACATATGTTTTTCTATTTTACAATTATACTCCATATTTCTTATATATTTCATTTGATCTAAGCTCTGAAAGTAATTTTTTATCAAGTAGTACATACTTTTCCTGCAACTTTACACAAAAATCTCTTTACATACTTTTTTGGCAAAATGGCCTCGTGGCCAGTTAAACTTGCGCCCAACTGCCAACCAGGTACACAAACTTATACATTTCCCATTTGAACGCTCTAACTCCGATATTTGTCAACTAATAAACCACTTTGATCTTTGATCATGCCTATGTGGAGGCAATATAGCTGACATGGCCAAATTATGTGTGCACCACACAGAAAAAGTGCGTGAGTGTAATACGTTGATGGAAAAAGTATTAAAAAATATATAAATAATAAAAAGATAACAAAAAGGAAAAAACTAAAGCTTCCTCAGTTCCTCCTAGCCCACTTCTTCGTCCTCCTTCCCCATCCCTATTTCTTTTGTTTCATGTTGTCCCCATCCCCTTTTCATTATTAATTTTTACTTGAAAATGATTAATCTTGTTCTATTGAGTACAAAAATGCAGAAGAAGAAAGATAAAAAGGTTATCCACACAACTCCTTGTCGGCAAAAGAAAATCTCTGATGGTGCCGAAGAAATTTTTCTGGTTATTGCTCCTTTCTTTTTCTTTCTTTAAATTTTTGTGGCAGGGGATATTGAATTGTGTTATTTTTGGTTTGTTTGTCTGGGCTTGATGGGATGGAGGTTTAAAGGAGATGGTAATTAGGGATTTTGGGCGAAAATGGTGGCTGAAAATTGAGAGAATTTACCAGTGACTTCTCTGGCCAACTCGAGTTTTCCGGTGGTCTATCAGTTTCTTGGATTTGGGGCTTGGTCGAAGGCTTTGCTGGCAATAGCTTCTTTTACTGATGCGGGAGGGGGAGGGGATGGAGAGGGACGGGAGTTCAGTGATGAAGATGACATGAAATTTTAATATATTAATTTTAAAAACAGGACCCACAAAAACACATACTAGCAAGCAATAAATAGTCTAGCATATGATGTGCTGATATGTCACCACAATTGATATACATGTGTTGTTTGATGTGTTTCTTAGTACTCATTCTGTCAAGTTGGAATGTCCAAATGGGAAATATACAAGTTTGTGTACCGGGTTGGCAATTAGGCGCAAGTTTAAGTGGCCACGAGGCCATTTTATCTGCTTTTTTTTGCTGGCAACTATTACAACAACAAAATCATATCCAGTGTAATTTCACAAGTAGGATCTAGGGAGGATAGTGTGTTTGCGGACCTTATCCCTACCTTGTGAAGGTAAATAAGTTGTTCCTATAGACCCCCAAAGCAGGAATTGATCCTTGCTCCTCTAGGTAAATAACTCAGCATTCAACCAAGTGCACCATTCATCAGATAATATTATATTGATTTTAAAAAATATGTACATAAAATTAAATAACTAATTTGATAAAGAGACCATGGATTTAAGTGTGTTTCATATATTATGCTATAAATCCACCCCTGATCTTAGTGAGAAGTGCATGAAATGCACCAATGACAATACGAGTGTGCGACACGTGTCATAACATCAAACACTAAGAAATTAGTTCTCTCTTTTATTCTCCCTTGTCATTCTTTTCTTTTCAAAACGGAAAACCGACATAACTCATTTGAAATGCTGATTCTAAATTCTGACTCTGCCTCTGAGCTATATATTAATATATCTCTATGAAATTGTTATACATTGACATTAACAACATGTCAAAATTTTTTAGAGAGATCACGGAATCCATTCAAAGTGGTGATTCAACAGCAAGGCTAATGAAATATAATCCAACCACAGGGGAAGTCAGTGCAATGTTAAAGAATCTCGCAGGAGCAACAGGAGTGGCATGTAGCAAAGATGGCAAATTTGTTCTAGTTGCCGAATACATTGGCAAGAGAATCCAGAAGTATTGGCTACAACGTAAAAAGGCAGGCAAAGCTGAAACCATTATAAAATTTACTGGATACCCTGTGAAGGTGAAGAGAAATAATGAGGGAAACTTTTGGGTGGCACTCAACTCTCAAAAGGAGGATAGCAGTTTACCACAGGGCATTAAAATTGATTGCAATGGGGAAGTGCTTGACTCTGTTGATTTGAGAAGAGAATATAATGACCAGTATATTACTACTGTGCAGGAACACAAGTATAAGTTATACATTGCTTCTCCTTTTGAGAATTATGTTGGTGTATACAACATAGAATCTTGAACTTGATACTTTTATGGAGTAATTCAATATTGTGTCAAGACTTGCTCCTAAATTGTATATGTAAGTGCTATTTGTGTATAAAGCTAAGGTTTTATATTTTATAAAGTTATACATTCTTAAGAGTTTAATTAATATTCATTGACGATGTAAAAGAATTTACACCATTAGGCCACCTTTATATGCTGTAGTTAGTATTTTGCCGTAAAAATTGCACGGGGCGTCCTATTTGATCGCCCCGATTTAACCTATACCCATTTTTTTAAAAACTTTTAACTTGTACCCACTTTTTAAACAACTTCAGCTCCTTTCTCCTCCTCCTTCTCCTCCTTCGTTTTCTTCTTCTTCTTCTTCTTCTTCTTCTTCTTCTTCTTCTTTTTTTTCCAGTTATTAGTTTAAGATGCTTTTTGAGGTTTGTGGAGTTCAATAACGTCAAGAAGTCCTGATTAAAAAGCTTTGCTATTGTTTAAGTAGGATGCATGGAAATGCATTTTGCCTATATGCGTCCAACAGACAACATCTAAATCCATAATCATTTAAGAGATGGGTTTCAAAAATAACTGCAAAAAGGCAACATACATCTACTTAATTGTGCTAGTAATCAATAAGAAAATACAAATTTATGCATCAATATCCTGTGCACCCTTTTGAGAATTGAATATTAAAAAACAGAATCAAGCATTAAATTTTACTGAATGAGACTTTCTGTCCTTCGTTTCTGTTCCAATTGTTTTCATTGTTATGTGCAGGAAATTGGCTGACCTTGATTATCATAGAAGTGCCAAGAAATGTAAAGAGCTGAAGTTTTTGTCTTTGTAACTGGGGAACTTCAGCTCTAGAGCTGAAGTTTTTGTCTTTGTAACTGAGACACTTCAGCTCTAGAGCTGAAGTTCTTGTGTTGTAACTGGGAAACTTCAGCATCCTACTGTGTTACAACACAAAAACTTCAACTCTAGAGCTGAAGTTTCCCAGTTACAAAGACAAAAACTTCAGCGTTCTTCAGCTCTAGCGCTGAACTTCAGGCCCGACTACTAGAATGCTGAAGTTTTGCGTGATTGCCTTTGCTACTTCAGCCCCGTATGCTGAAGTTATGCGAAAAAGCGGGTACGCTTGCAATTTTTTTTGCAAAGCGGGCACAAGTTAAAACGTGGCACAAAAAACGGGTATAGATGCAAATGCCCTTATTTTCAAGGAAATTTTACCTCCTATAGCAATGGTTGATACCTGTGAGCATGTGATTTTTGCCCTAAGCAAATTAATTCCAAAAGTTTCAAATAATTGGTTTCCTTATTATTTTACAATTTTTTGTGATTTTTTGTTAAAATTTTGTGTTAATTGGTTGTATTTTTCATATGAAAATCAGAAAATATGCACACGCATTTAGGGATTTAATTTCATAATTTTAGTATTAATTAGGTATTAATTAGATTTAGAATAAAGTTTAAAGAAAAATTGCAAAAATAGTCTTGTTGCACTCTTAATTGTTAATGGTTGCGTTTTATTTCTAAATAGAGTTTTAAGTAATTTTAGGAGTTTAAATAGTTTAATTGAGTCTTTGTTTTGTTTTAGCATTTTTTATAAAATTAAGAAAAAATAAATAAATACAAAAATACAAAAAAAAATATACAAAATAAAATACAAAAGAAAAGGCAAAGAAGGCTGCCAAAATTGGGCCCAAATGGCTGAGCCCAAATAAAATAGGCACCAACCCGTTCAAATTTGGCCCAGTCTCACCCGGTCCAGTCCCCAGATCACCTGAAACGACGTCGTTTGGTCTTGTTCAATCAGGACCGTCGAGGTTCCTTGATCGGACGGTCCTGAAGCCCACGACATTTAATATATAAATGTCTGAATATAACCACCCCCCCTCAGAACCCCCACCCTCACCGTCTCTCAAACTTTACCCCTGTAACGCCACCGCCGTCCACCGTAACACCACCCTTCTCCGTCGTGCCTCCGCCGTCCGCCGCCGGCCGGAAATCGCCTCCGCCGGCGGCGAAGCTCCAAATCACTCAAAAATTACACCCCTCAATCCTCTCATCCTCCTCTTTCCAACCCCCAACCTAGTTTCCCTCAAATCGTAACCAAAATGCTCGAATATGAGATCGAAATTTCCGGCCAGGATACCACCTTTCCCAAACCCCACCAAATTTACACCATAAGACCACCACGACCTCCTCTATCAAACCCCTAAGGTCCTGATCCTCAAACATGGCCGGAACTTCTCGAATATGGATTTGAAGTTTTCCGGCCAAAACCCTAATTGCCCCAAACCTCCCCAGATTAATACTACGTGATCCTTTCGTCTTCCTCATGAGGAGTTCAGTGTCAGTGGTGGTCAAATATCACCGGATTGGTTCAAATGTCAGATCGGAGAGTGGCAGAGTCTCGAGCCGTCAGTTGAGTTTGGTTTTTCTTTCTTTATTTTTGATTAATTCGTTTCCTGTTCTCATATTTGTTAAATCTCTATTCCAATACACATTTAATTTCCATCAATTTCTTGTTTTGATTTTTGCGCCTGGTTATTAGTCTGTTTTGATCTTGGTTAGCTATGTGTTAGTGTAATTTCAGCAGAATAAAATTTATTAAGTAAGAATTCCTTTCTTCTAGTTTTCTATTAGGGTTCTCAATTCTTCCTTGTTTCATGTTATTAGTTTAGAAATTTTGATTAGTTCTAAGTCTGCATTTCTGATTTGCTGGTTAATTTGGGCTAGTTTAAGTCTTGATACTGATTTTACGATAGTCAATTGACTAGTAGTTCCATTAGTTAGTTTGGATCCGGCCTTGAAATTGATCTTGGCTACAACTGTTTTTAAATTTGCTGAGTAATTGTTTAACTGTGGATTAAATTAAGAGGGTTTGGGTAGCCAGTAATTCTAAGGGGATTTCAGGGGTAGCTTGGGTATGGAAAAGGGTAGTTTTATTAGGAATAGTAGTTTTAAAAGTAGGGAAAGGGTAGTATAGAGATTGTAATAGGTGTAGGACTTTCTAGAATAGACTTTAGTATAGTTTTCAATAAAATAGGTGTTGTTGCTTGAGTAATAAGTTAAAAAATGAGGGACTGAAAACTAAATAAGAGAGGGACTAAAGAGAAAAACAAAAATCTGAAAAAAAAAAGCTTTAGATTTTGCCTATAAAAGGCACACACATTTGCCTTGTTTAGCAAGTTTTTGGACCTTTGAAAATTCCCTGAAATTTGGAGAGATCTCTGAAAACCTTCCCAGAACTTGCCAGCCTTTAGTTCTGAAGTTCTGAATTTCAAAGTCGAAAACCTTCTTTTAAAAAAAAAACATACAAAATCCAGTAAACTGTTACATTGATTTTGTTGGAAATTTAGTTTTGAGTTCTAGTGCTACTTTTGAATAAACTAGAGGTCAAATGGGTGTGATTTGGTTTGATCTGTTGCTGTTAAATTCTGGATACTCTTCTGTGGGTAGTGTGACATCGTCTTGATCCTGAGCTTGTTTATTTTGCTGCTGTTAACACTGCTGATTGTCTTCTGCTGCTGCTGATTTTGTCTTCTTTTTCACTTTGTCTTAATTCCCAGGTACACATCGTGTAAATTCCAATTTGCAGAAATGAAATGAAGTGCAACATGATCCTGTATTGATTTTGTATTGTTGTTTCATGTAATTTTTCATAAATTTCAGTAGATTATGGTTTGTAACTAAATTGGACTGTTTTGACTCATACTGGACTACTAAACTAATTTGATTTCCCTTTCATGATTATATAAGTATTGTGTCTAGACATAACAGGTTCAGTTTAGTTAAGTTTGACGCCTTAAATCCCCTTGTGTAATTCAAAAGCAGATGCAATATGAGCCGTAACTGTTGAACGTGGACTGGTTTTGCCATTAAAGTCCATCTGGACTAGTTTGAATGTTAAATTAAACAAAGTAGATTTTAGTAGAACAGGTCGACAAAATCGTTGATGTGTAAACAGTTAATTTGGATTCAGAATCAGTATTACACAATCCAATCTGGAATTGGCTTCTAATCTGGGCTCTTATCTTTGGGCTAAACTCAACAGTAGATCCGACAGAAATTCGAAGCCTTGTAGTTAAAGTTTAATATGGCTTTCAATTGATAATTAGAGGCCCAAAACTGACTTGCAATCGTGGCCCAAACTCTGAATGAGCAGCATTAACAAAACCAAAGCTGCATGTCGGGCTGATGTGCAAAGCCCAAATTGTTAAGTCTAAAAGTCTTTAAAACTACATTAGAACATGGAAATTAACTCACAAATATAAATTTGGGTTTCAAATTAGGTGGCGGGTTCAAATTAAGAGGGTTTTCCCTTTTGTTTGAATTCGGACTTGAGTTTGAGGCCCGAGTTCATAAATGCGAATCAATTAGGGCCCTTTTAGAGACAATGCTGTAATAAAAAATCATAGTTTCTTTTAGGATGGTCTTTAACCAAAATATGAGACGAGCCTCGCCGCACCAAACATATAAATCACGGGGCCCTCATTAAATGCTTTATAAAATCTTAGAGAATCGGGACATGCCATTTAGTGAATTTTCATGGCTTCCCACGAAGTTAATAAGACGCTAACTACTTTAGGCGCGCTTTTGATGATATTATTTTCCTAAATTCGGGAGTGCATTTCATGCAACCCAAATCTAAATCCCAAAACGTTGAATAAGAGGTGTTGAGGATCCGGGTGCATTTCATGCGACGTGATCCAAAAACACGCTCTTAAACGGCGTTCACTTCCGTAAAAAGTAAATAAAAGCGGTAAATAATTTATAAAATTGCACTATAGGTTTGAATATGTATAAAATTAGAATTTTAGCCATTTATAATAATTTAAGCGACCGTGCTAGAACCACGGGATTCGGGGGTGCCTAACACCTTCCCTCGGGTCAACAGAATTCCTTATTCAGAATTTCTGGTTCGCAGGCTCCAATTGGGAAGTCGAATTTTTCCTCGATTTGGGATTTAAATTAAACCGGTGACTTGGGACACCAAAAGCCAATCTTATCCCAAGTGGCGACTCTAAGAAATAAATAAATAATCCCATTTTCGAATAATGTCACTTTAAATGGAAAAACTCCCTTATACATTTATCCTTCGGGGTAGGTGTGTAAAAAGGAGGTGTGACAGCACTTCCTAGTTTGGATCATATGAGTTTGAGTCACTGATGGTTTTACCCCTAGGAGATGCACTTCCTGGTCTAAGTCTTCCAAATTATATTTTGCTTAGGAGATGCACTTCCTAAATTGAGATTTTCCCCTAGGAGACGCACTTCCTAGTCTGGTTCATTTAAGTTCATTCATAGGAGGCGCACTTCCTAAATTGAGAATTCATTCATAGGAGACACACTTCCTAGTTTGAGTCATTGAAGTTTCACCCATAGGAGACGCACTTCCTAAATTGAGAATTCATTCATAGGAGATGCACTTCCTAAATTGATAGTTCATTCATAGGAGACGCACTTCCTAGTTTGAGTCATTGAAGTTTCACCCATAGGAGACGCACTTCCTAAGTTTATTTTCACCCAAAGGAGACGTACCTCCTAAATTGATAGTTCATTCATAGGAGATACACTTCCCAGTTTGAGTCATTGAAGTTTCACCCATAGGAGACGCACTTCCTAAATTGAGAGTTCATTCATAGGAGATGCACTTCCTACTCTGGCTTTTTCAGGTTATATTTTATTTTAGGAGACGCACTTCCTAGTTTGAGTCATTTATGTTCGGCCCTAGGAGACGCACTTCCTAGTCTGGTTCATTGATGTTTTACCTGTAGGAGATGCACTTCCTAATCAAGGTCTTTCAAGTTATTCTTTTAGGAGACGCACTTCCTAAATTGAG